TTTAGGGAGTTTAGGGTTTATGGGTTTATAGGGGTTTAAGGTTTTAGGGGTTTCGGGGTTAGGGTGTTGTTTTGGGGGCTTTAGGGTTTAGTCTCGGGATACAACTCCGCAGCACGATGCCTTCAACATAAACCTTTGGAACCTCAAGGCCTGCCTCAACCTGAGTCACGCCCCATCCGAAAGAGATGTATATATGGGTTGGATTCGAAGCTGATAAGTCTCTTTAGGATCGACAGCGGGCCAAAACTCGAGGCCCTGTGACTCAGAACTTTCTATCCCCACAGGTGGATAGGAGACTCCGAAATCTAGCAAAGATAGCAAGATGTAAAATGATCCTGGCTACAAAAGCCTACGTTGCAACCCTGTCTGATCGCATGGACCCTAGTAAACCAAAACCCTAAAACCAAAAACCCTAAACCCCTAAACGCTAAACCCTAGGCCCTAAAACCAAAAACCCTAAACCCCTAAACGCTAAACCCTAGGCCCTAAAACCAAAAAACCGTAAACCCTAAGTGCACGGGGAGCCCCTGAGGCAGGAACCCAGCGCACAGCCAGCGAAGAGAAGCCACAGCTCGCTGCCAACCTGGAAATACTCAAATAAGTAGTCTAGGGTTTAGGGGTTTAGGGTATAGGGTTTAAGATAGGGGCATGAATAATTGGAATGGGTTTTTTTTTTCTGGAGTTTCAGGTCTACTGTCGGGTTGGATTGGGAGGCGAGGCTGCCTGAGACGGCATGGGTGGGATGAAAGGAAAAGTAGCGATCCCGATTCTTGAACCCTCAACACACGTTTAGGGTTTAGGGTTTAGGGCCCTGAACCCCTGCACTAAGAGGGTTCGCGGTTTAGGGCTTGCTTAGCTTGTGGGACGCCCAAGAAGACTCGCACGCTGTGATCTTAAACCCAACCCATACCTGCCAGCCTGAAACCCGAAGGCATTCACAAAACCAGGTCTCACTGTATAGCCAATACTTGGAGGGTCGGGAGACTTAGTAAGTAGGTAGTAAGTAGACTTATAGTACCCTAAAAGGGACCCTAATTGGGGTTATGGTACTTATCAGTCCTTAAAATAAACAGTTACTAAGTTGTTCGACCCTCCAAGTACAAGGAAGTTTCCCGAACCTCCTGTCTGAACTCGAAGCCCTGAGAAAAACCATCTACTTGTCTCTACGAAGTCCTGGCAAGCCCCTAAAGCCTAAACCTGAAACCCTAAACCCGGGAACCCTGAACCCAAATCCCTCAAACCCTAAACCCTAGAGCCCCGAAGCCCTGAAACCCAGGCAGAGGAGGGGCCACGAGATCCCGTAGCAATCGGGGGAGCGCCAAGGCTGGAGCCACGACGGCTGAGCCCACCCAGACCTTCCAAAATCCCTTAATTAAGGAATATACCTTAAATTATATTAAGGATCCTACTATAATTTAAGGGATATTCCTTAATTAAGGGATTCTAGAAGGTCTGGGCACTCCGTCCTCGACAACATCGCCCAGCAGTCCACCGAGCCCAGCCTCTGAAGGCGACACCCCTCCACCAGTGCCACCGGCAGGGGCCTCCAGCTGACCGCCACCACCTACTTAGAGGATCATGGGACTTAGTAAGGGCTCCTTAAAGGGATCTATAAAGGTTCCTTATAATGGGATCTATATAGGGTTTAGGGTTTAGGGTCTACTTAGAGGATCATGGGACTTAGTAAGTAGGTTATAATTGGGGTTATGTGTCCCCTAAGTGAGGTTATATATGGTCAGGCGTCTGGCGTTCCCAGCCCCCCCCCCCCCCCCAATGGTATGGTCTGACAGGGGTGGGGGGGGGGGGGGGGCCCTGGCGTGTGCGGAAAGGGGTTGGGGCCGTTGGAGCTGCCGCTGGATGGTGGGGCGGTGCTGGCGGCCAGGGCTCACGCGCAAGCCCTTCGCAAGCAAGCCGTAAACCCTATGACGCAGCCCGTGCCCCGATTTTGAGCAACCTTAACTTGTATTTAAAACGCTACACCCAACCCTAAACCCCACCTAACTGCAGGCTCTAAGCCTAAAGCAGAGCATACACCGCAAATCCTCCCTAAGCCCTTGTCGACTCGAAGCCTTATACCTCGTAGCCGTAAACCCAAAACTCAAAAGCTTAAGCTAAACCCCAAACCCCAAAACCCCACAACCACCCACAGGGGGGAGGAACCCCACACCCCACACCACAGGGGAGGGGGGGGGCCCCACCCTATATCCGGACCATTGACCTTTGGGGGGGGAGGGGGGGCTGCGGAGCGCGTGACCATATATCCCCTAAGTGGGGTTATCCTAATATAACCCACTTATAACCTTACTTACTAAGTCCCATGAGCCTTTAAGTACCCCGGTCAATCGTCCTCTCCGCGGCAGTGTGGCGTCTGGATCCAGAAGGATCGGAGCTTTTTACACTCATCAGCAGTCTCGGAGCGCGCGAAGCTTAGCGGTGGTCAGCCAACTTAGCGCAAATCCCGCGGCTAAGGTGAGCGAGAGGCCCAGGAACATAACCATTGATTAGCAAAAACCGCCCCCAGAACTGAACCCGCTAGGCTTACAGTAGATGAATCAAAAGCTCCACACCGAGGTTCAGACTGTTGCCAAGCTCTCAAATCCTAAGCCCCAAAGCCCCCAACCCTAAACCCTAACCCCGAAACCCTAAACTCTATAGTACCTTATAGGAACCCCCTAAATAAGGTACCCCCTAATTTTCGGAAACTCTAAACCCTAAACCCTTTATAGAACCCTTATGGATCCCTTTAGGGAACCCTTAAAGGATCCCTTTAAAGGTAACCCCCTAATTTTCGGAAACTCTAAACCCTTATAGAGCCCTTTAAAGGGACCCTTATAGTACCCGTATAGTGACCCTTTAAAGGAACCCCTAAGGTACCCCCCCTAAATTTTCGGAAAGTCCCGAGTGCCCCCCCCCCCTCCTCCGAATGAAGCCCAGCAGGCGCCTGCGGGGCTTTGGGCTTAGGGCTTGGGGTTGAGGGTCCAGGGGTTTGCTTAGGGCTTCGGGGGGTTCAGGGGTTTGGGGCTTTGGGGGTAGGGCTGAGGGGGTTCAGGGGTTTAGGGCTTTGGGGGTAGGGCTTAGGGAGTGTGAATCTGCCCAGGTGCGCCGCTCAGACGCCGCTACCGGCGGCACTGGGAGTAGTTTGCTTGTACACACCACCCATCACTCCTACCGCTTTTGGGCTACAAGCCTCAGAGCAAGAGGGTGACACACACAAATCAAGAAGTGTACAACTGCACCTGGCAATACTTTTCTCTTGCTGTTGTGGCTGTAAAAGAGTTCGCTGCGTACTCCGTGCGAGGGCTTGTTGTTCTCACACGGGTCATGAGCCCAAGCGACGCAATGGCTTCACCCGCCTCGCGTAGTCAAGAGCCCAACCCTTTCTGGAGTGAGGCAGCTCAAGAAGCCCACCGTAGGATGCAAAACCCCAGACCCAGCCGTGCGGCGAGTGAGTTGTCTGCTTTCTCTGTAGAACCAGATTATGCCACCATGGAAGATGTACAAGATCCAGCCCCAGGCGATGTTTCTGGTGCCACTCAGCCTGTCATTCCGATTGAGTCTGAACTGGTAGCGGAACAAGTCTTGGACCAACCAGCTGCTTCTTCGGGTGAGCTTCGAGCGGTTCAATTCCGGGATGGGGATCACTCTTCCAATGAGGAGTTGGTACCGGACTATGAGAGGCTCGAGAGCGCACAACAGCCCCAACCAGTGGATGCTGATGGAGGTATAAGGGGATCTGTGGAGTGGACACGGGAGTTATCGCAAACTGCTTCGGGTGAGCCGATGTCCGATAACGTGGGTAGTGTGGCCCCAGGGCCCGGAAACCTCGCGCCGGAAGCTCTCAGCGCCATGATGGCGCAATTGTTGCAGCAGCAGATGGCCCCTATGCTCCAACAGATGATTCAAACTACCGCGAATTTGGAGAGACGGCTCCAAGCGGTGGAGACCTCGAGGACCTCCAGTGCACGGACCTCCCATGATGGTCGGGATTGGACTGCCTCGCCAGGTGAGCCGTTTGGCCCCCTGAGTGCCCGTGAGCCTTCGGGTAGAGTCTCAGTGAGTCAGGGTAGGGATGCAGGGAGTGTTCATCGGAGCCGGGTGGGACACGAGATACTGCTCTCACTGGCGATGCTCGTTTGGAACCTCTGTCGGATGTTGCGGGGGGTGGGGACGGGCATGAACAAGGGTCACGACTAGGCATGTCGACTCTGAACGCTCCAGCCCAGCAGGCTTCGGAGGTGATTCGTGAAAGTGCGAGTCGTTGGCCTACTGTGAGTGGTGTCCTTAGTGCAGGGGCTCGTGCATTCTCTCCTTTTCAACGCGTAGTGGAAGTAGCTCGAACTCGAACCCCCAGCCCTACTCGCAACAGCGACTCGGCTCTCAGGCAACCGAGGCGAGAGGTACGAGAGACAAGGCATCATCCGGGTTCAGAACCCAGACCTCGTAGACCTTCGGAGCCGATTCCCCATGCCCTGTCAAGCCCTGCATCGGCACCGGCCAGGACCCAGAAGGCTATTGAAGATCACTCTAGAGCTGAGGTGCCTAGTCTTCCGCGACGGTCCGAACCTTCAGTGAGCAGGGAGTTGGTGAAGGGGTCCGAGTGTTTGGGGTATCCTCCTGGTTTAGAGGTTGGTTTTCGGGCGAACGTTGGGTCGCAGCCGGTCGAGCGTTGGACCCCACCTCGCCGTCCTACCATCGTCTATCCTCGGACTCCAGGTGGAACGGAAATTCGCCCCCCTGCCTCCACACCTCCCCTGTCGCCGAACAGGCCTCAATCATCTCAGGTTCCCGAGGCTCCGCATCATGATCCTCAAACTGCCCATCCTTGCCCGCCTGTCTTCCCATCCTTCTCTCATCATGCCTCGGCCGTGGCGTCTCAACCGGTTATGTTGGAAGGAGGGTTCGGAACTCGGGACAAATACTCACCAGGAGACAGGGTTTTCTGGACACTACCGGTGTTGGGCCCCTGTGATGAAACGGCAGCCCTTAGAGCTTCGGATTGGATGGTGCAGATAAAACCGATGATGTGTGACCTTTGTTCGGGTTCCGGCGAGTGGTGGTCATTGGTGGTGAGGGCTGCAGAGGATTGGTACACTTGTTGGCAGACAGCCACTGCACTTCAACGCGGTGCATTAGTACCGTCTTTGCCGGAGAACCTTGCAGATGCACGTTTTATCCGGTTGGAGGCTCGGGCGTTTGGTATGTTAAGGGACGCGGTTACAGATCGTGTTAGGGAAGAGCTGATTAGCAAACGAACGCTCACCTGCTATGCTCTTCTTTGCACGATTTTGAAGACCTACCAGCCCGGTGGGGCCCAGGAGCGTGCAAGACTTCTCGATGCACTTCAGTATCCGGGTAAGGCCTCCTCTCCCCAAGATGCCGTATCAAAGCTACAACTCTGGCATCGCTGGTTAGGTCGAGCAGGCTCCCTTGGGGTTCAGAGACCAGACGCTTCTCTACTTCTGAAGGGATTGGATGCTCTTTCGGCCCCTTTGCTTGGCCAACACTATGAACTTCGTTTCAGAGTTAGCTCAGCGAGACAACAGTTGCAACTCGATCATATACCTTCTGAAGCTGGGGTCCTTGAGTTTGCAAGGGTGTTGCAGTCTGAGTTCGAGGTTTTAAGTTTGGCAATTCCAGAGAAGGCATCACGAGTCGCAAGGCTTGGGGAAGGCGATGGTAAGGAGAAGGGGAAGGGTGCCGGTAAGGGCAAGGACGAGGTTAAGGGTGATGGTAAGAAGAAGGGTAAGCCTTGCAAAAACTGGATGACGGCAGGTGGTTGTAGATTTGCGGCTAAATGCACGTTCGCGCATGAGCCTGCGGTTACGATCCAGAGTGGTCGTTGTTTCCGGTGTTCCGCTGAAGGACATCGGAAGGATGCGTGTCCATACGGGGACACCGGAGCGGAAAGCTCCAACAAACAGGGCACAGGGGCGGAAGCTAAAGCGAAGGCCAAGGCGGCTCCTGGTGTCCGAAAGGCTGGTGTAGGCCAAGGTTCGGGGGACCCGTCCGGGGCTGCAGACCAGGGCGAGTCTGGGAACCTCAGCGGAGGACAAGCGCAAGCGGAGCTCCTTCGCGAAGCCACTGAGGCGCTTAAGGCCCTCGCATTGAAGGCGATGCGGGATGTGGCACCTGCTCCATCCAGTCCGGTTGACGGTATGCCGCGGTGTACTGGTCGTTGGTTGGGTGGTGGAAGTTTGGAGTTGCTTGAGGGTGGCGGTGAGCCAAAGGTTTGTACTGTTGTGCGTTCCACTTCTCCGGTAGGATTGCTGGACAGTGGGGCCACTTGCTGCATGAGGCAAGCACTTCCGGGGGAGCTGGAAGGCTGCACGAAGCGCACGGTGGCTTTGGCGGTCGGCTCGACGGATCTACATGTAAACTCTTGCGGCACGATTTTGACGAGGGAAGAGGTCATGCCAATAGTGTCGTTGTCTCTGTTGGTTCGGATTGGCTACAAGATTCGTTGGAAGTCTGAGGGCAATCTGGAGTTGCGAAGCAAAAAGGGGCTGCGCGTTCCGGTTTCCACCCAGTCTGGTTGTCCTGAGGTTGGCAAGAGTTGCGCGCTACGCATGATCGGTGAGATTGAGGGTTACTTGCGGCGTGTGGAAGGAGTTCGCCGGGTGGCTCCAGTGGTACAGGGTGACTTGACCACTGATCCTTTGGTTGTGTTGGATCAGATCCGTTGCCAGAGGGATGCGGGTGAAGATACGTTGGGTTTGGTTAGATGCTGGCTTGCTTTAGCGTTTCCAGAAGCCCCAGCGGATCTACTCGACCGTGCAGCGGTGTCCGCTACCGTCGTGGGCATAGACTCACCTTGGAATCGGCGGCGACGCAGACAGCTGTCACTTGCCAAGGGGGGCATTCTTCTGAACTTGTTTGGGAGTGTTGCTAGTGGTGAACTTCGTCAGGTTGCTCAGGCTCAAAACCTTGAGTTGTTGGACGTTGATGTTGATGAGGATCCTTCTCTAGAATCTACTTTTGCTGGAATCTTGGGACTTGCTCTTGAGGGTCGGATACGGATTGTGCTTGGAGAACCACCATGCCGTACTTTCGGCGCCCTTCGCACACAACCAGGTGGTCCTCCAGTCGCGCGTGATCGGTCCGGACCGGGACGATGGGGAAAAGTGTACCTCTCAGAGGCTGAGTCGGCGAAGGTTCAGCATGACAACATCATGGTCATCAGACTCATGTCCATTCTTCGTGTGGCACATGCTGCTAATCAGGCCTTAGGCCGGGGTCCCGTAGGCGTAATGATTGCACAACCACGTGATCCCATGACATATGTAGCATGTGACGCTCCAGACTTGTACCCGTGTTTGTTTGCGACCTTGGAGTGGCATGAGTTGCAAAAAGAATTGGGGTTGAGCTTGATTGCTTGTGACCAGGGAGTTTTAGGTTGTGGAGGTGTGAAGCTCACTCACCTGGCGACAAATCTCAACTTGAGTTGGCTTACTCCTGTCACCGCGGGAGTCTCGCAGCCACTTGGTGATGAAGCCGGTTCGTGCGTCTCGGTTGCATGGTCGCCTTGGCCTCCGGGTCTTGTGTATGCAGTCCAAGTTGCCGTTCGAGACTTTTTTGCTGAAACAGCGGTGAGGGCCATGAGTGAAACGGACAGGGCTGCCATGAAGCGGCACGTTGAACGCGGTCACTTGCCGTATTGGAAGCGTTGCAGAAGTTGCGTCGAGGGGCGTTCCAAGGATCGTCGCCACGTGCGTGCTGCGGTTCCCGAGGCAAATGTGTTATGCGCGGATCTGGTTGGACCGTATGCCGCCGGAGAGGACGAAAAGATCGCTCGGGTCCGTTATGCGTTGGTGTGTGTGCTTGTACTTCCGGATTTAGAGCGCCTGCAAAAGCAGGAACATCAAAAGCAGGACTCGCTGGTCGGTGAAGGTGAAGGGTGTCTGGAGGCTGCGGGTGCCGGGTTAAGCGACCTAGATGATGGTGATTCTACCGAACCTGGCCCAATAGAGCCTGCCGACCCTCTACTCAGCCCAGAGTCCGAGGAACCTGGGCCTGACGGATGGGAGTCGCCAGGTGTGGGTTTCCGGGAAGTCGTTGAGGATTCATGCGCAGGTGAGCTTGAAGCTTTGGAAGCCGTTGGCCGCAACCTGTTGGAGAGGCTGCCTACTGTGGAACTGACATTCACTGAGGTTCTGGGATCAAAAAGGGGGCGGGAAGTCCTCACAGCTCTCCGGCGAGTGGTCGCTAGGATTTCAGCTCTCGGATACCCGATCGTCCGCCTAATGACGGATAGTGGAGCAGAGTTCGTGAACCGTGATTTGTTGGCTTGGGCAGCGTCGCGCGAGATTCAGGTTAGCAACACAGGTGCTGACGACTTTCGCCGCAATGGTAGGGCTGAGAGGTGTGTTGGTATTCTAAAAGGAATTGCTCGTACACTACTTCGCTCAATCGAGCTGCCTGACAAGGCTTGGCCCTTTGCTTTCAGATATGCTGCGGAGCTTAGGCTTCGGTCTGCATTGCAATATCTAGGACATCCGGGAACTCTTCCTTTGGTGCCTTTTGGCACTTCGGTTTTTGCTCGGCAGCGCTCCTGGAAGGTGTCGTTGTGGGAGGCAAAGGTGGTTCAAGCCATGGTGTTAGCTCCTGCGCGTGATGTGGCTAATGCTTTTTTGGTTCAGACGGTGAACGGTGAGTATTTCGTTACTTCAGTCTTGTTCCGGGATGTGCTGACATGTCCGAATCCACCTGCTGTAGTGAACGAGGACACATTGCATGATCTCGAGCCACCCCTTCGAGCCCCTCAGCGTCGAGTTCGTCGTAAAGTACCCGAAGCTGCCCCCATCCCTCAGCCTGCCCCGATAATCCCTCGAAAGCGGTTTCGTGAGAAGACCACCCTTGCTGCTTTGAGAAAGCACTTCTTCACGGAAGATGAGCATGCAGCCATGCTGGCAGATACTGTGCCGTTTCAGCTACATCGTGCGATTGAGTTTTTGCTCACATCGTCCTGGGTGCAGTCGGTGCCTGCTGCATCGCAAGGATCTACGAGACCGGGTATGCATAGTGTTTGGGGGTTGTATAGGCACGGGGGAGTGATAGGGGTGACGAGGGCTTGTCAGGAACTTCCTGGGTTCGGACGGTTGTTGGTGACATTGGCCCGCTTTATTTGCGCTGAGCAATCCTTCACTACTGTAGCTCTCACTCATGACGGCAATGTTCCACCCCATAGGGATGTGAGCAATCTCCCCCACTCCAACCTGCTGTATCCTTTGAGTCTTCCGAAGGGGGGTATGTGCTTATGGTCACAGCTTGGGTTTGGGGATGTAGTAGAAGGACCGATTGAGGTGCGGACAGTTCCTCACGGTAGCTCTGAGGCAGGGCAGTTGAGATGGCTTTTCGTGCAGAAGCCGATGCTTCTGGATGCGCGTAGATGGCACTCAGCTCAGGCATTTCAGGGCAGTCCGCTGTTGCTTGTTGCCTATTCTCTTCAAGCCATAAACCGGGCAAGTGACGCAATCTGTGATGACCTTCGTAAGCTCGGCTTTCCGTTGCCCCGCCTTGATCCTGCTTCGTTGCATGTTCGCGGTCCTGAAATCCCCACTACTGATGCTGATGATGCTCATCAGGGGGGAGGGTGTGGGATTGATGCTGGAGGGAATCTTGATGCTGATTTGACGGCAGCATTGCGAGTGAGTCGCCAACCTAGCTCGAGAGCTGGCTCGTCGACCTCAGGGCTTTCAGGCTCCAAACGAGTCTCCTTCGGGGTTCCACTCGACGAAACCATAGGTTTTGCTGAGGGCAGTCGTACATCAGAGGCTTTGAAGAGTTTGGGTTCCAGACACTCTCTTCGGATGTGCTGGTGTTGCGACAGGGCTTGTGCTGAGTGCGGTGAGTTCTTTACCACTGAGGAGAGTCCAGAAGGGATGACTGCATCAAGCTATCACGGTCATGTTGAGCTCTTGGATGGTGTGAGGGTGGTAAGTGACCTCGAGGATTGGATCGAGTGTGGCGATCTGTTTCATAGGGTCTTCAGGGTTGAGGGTAGGCTTCATGCTGCTTCCGCCTGTTCAGCTGACGATCGCATCGTTGATTACACGTTGTGTGCGATTGAGCTTCCGTGCACGGGTTCGTTTAGCGAACTGTCTGGGTATCGTAAACAGTGGTTTGGAAAGGGAGTAGAAGAGCTTGATCAACATCAGTTGGTTTTGAAGGCGTTGATGCGTGATGAGCGGAAACTGCTAAGGCATGAGACCGAGGATGATGCAGGAATGCGCGCGGCGCCCGCTACGGCTGCGCTGCTCACTGACATTGCATCGGAGGTTCACTGCCTGGAGCGCGAGCTTGTGTCGTTGCGGGCAGGTTGGTCGGAGCCAGAGTGCGATGCCTTGCGAGCTTGTCATGTTGGGGGTGAGCTTGAGTCGTTGAGTGCGCGTGGTGTCGAGCGTGAGCTTGAGTCGTTGAGTGCGCGTGGTGTCGAGCGTGAGCTTGTGGCATTGAGAGCTTGTCTTGCAGAGCATGAGCTTGTTGGTTGGAGAGCGTGCCCCGCGGAGCATGAGCATGCTGTGTTGAAGGCTTGTCGTGTCGCTGCTGTCGCCGAGGCATCTGACCACCATAGGGTTTCCGATGAGGTTCCAGCTCCGTTGCAAACGCGGACCTACAGCAACGAAGAGGTGTTTGCCGAGTGGTCGGAGCCTTGGATCGAGTGCACTCGCAAGGAGTTGTCGTCGCTGCTAGATGTTAAAGGTGCTTTGGCCAGGACTACCGAGGAAGAAATCCAACGTTGGGTTGAGGAGGGGGCAGAAGTCACCCGAATCCCATCAAAGACGGTGTACACGCGGAAAGCGGTAAGTGGACGCCGCAAATGCCGCATCGTGCTATGCGGTAACGCTTTACCCGCCAACCTTGATGAATCCTCCTTGGACCGTCGACTGGCTACTTACGCCGGGGGTGTTGACATCAGTTTGTTGAGAGTCCTCCTAGCCGAAGCTGTGGAGCACCGCTATCATCTGGCGGTTTGGGATATTTCCACGGCGTTCTTGAACGCCCCGTCCCGTCCCAGAGATCTGAAAGCAGCTCACCGGGGAAAGACGCAAATTGTGATCGCAGCACCGCCAAGACAACTGGTGCGTCGAAAGCTGATCCCCTCCCACGAACTGTGGAGGGTAGTGTTGGCCGTTTACGGGTTGGACACAAGTCCTCGTGACTGGACGCTGTTTCGCAACGAAACCTTGCGCGACTTGACGGTGCTGGTGGAAGGCGAGGTTCTTCGGTTGAAGGTATGTGCTGCTGATAGCAATATCTGGTTTGTCGTGCGGCTGGAAAGTGTTGACGCGCCCCTGAATGTCGGTGTGGTGTGTGGCTGGCTAGCCATATACGTTGACGATTTCTTAGGTGCTGCTCGGCGAGTCTATGTCGAAGCGATTTACCACAAGATCAAGGGCATTTGGGACAGTGGTGAGTTGGAGCACGTTGTGTGCCGGGGGCAAGGCGATTCAGTTCGATTCAATGGGCTCGAGCTGCAATGGGACAGCGACGGAAGCGGGTTGTACGTCCATCAGTCATCCTACATCAAAGATCTGGTTGGGCGATACCCGGAAGTCAAGTGTCAAGCTGTGCCCCTGTTGCGTCCGCTTTTGAGTGAAACGGCCGAGGATGACATTGAGGGCCACCTCAAAGCTTGCCAAAAGGTCTGTGGCGAGCTCCTTTGGCTGGCCGTGAGAACACGACCAGACCTGGTGTTTGCATGCTCTCGCATTGCATCTGCGATGTGCAAACGTCCACAAGAGGCCTACGGGGCTGCGCTTGGTGTTGTTGGATACTTGAAGACTACACCTGTGCTTGGCTTGTTCTTTACCACGAAGCCGAGTGCTCATTGGGGGGAGGCCCGCCGTGCCGTCCAAGCCTCTGGGCTACTTGAAGTGCATACCGATGCGGGCTTCGCGCCCGAGGGCCTCCGTAGTCAAGAGTGTGTTTGCATTTATTGGCGCGGTTGTTGCGTATGTTGGGTTTCGACAAGACAAAGCTTTCTCGCCCAGTCGACTTGTGAGGCGGAGTTGGTCTCTACCATCTCCGGCTGCAATCTCGGCGACTCCTTGGCCGTCCTCTTGAACGAGTTGTATTCCAGCCAGGGTTTTCGAAAGATTCTCCTGAACGACAATGCTGCTGCCATCGGCATCCTAGCTGCGGACACCAACAGCTGGCGCACGCGTCACCTCAAGATCCGTGCAGGGGCATTGCGGGAGAAGGTTGCTTTGTTTGAGTGGGAGGTGCTGCACCTCGATGGTCAGCATAACACGGCTGACATCGGGACCAAGATCCTCCAACAGCCTCGAGTTGAACGCCTGCGGGATCTGATCGGCATGAGTGCTGTAGAACCTGCGGTCAGCACCCCTGCATCTGCAGGGGTTGCTAGAGTTGCAAAAGTGTTGGGCGCGCTTGTCTTTAGCCTTTGCGTTGAACCTTCGGCTGGGGTGCGTGATCAAGCTGAGTTTTCGGAAGGCCCGTCTTCATGGATAGACTGGATCCTGTTTGCATTGCTGGTGGTGTGGACAATCGCAGTAATTGCAGTGTGGGAAGTGTTGAAGGGTCTCTTTGGGCAGGCCACCAGACGGCCGTTTGAGCCTGAACCTCACGAGGAACCGGAAGGACCTGAAGAAGCGGATCCTGAAGATGAGCCTCCGCCGCTTGAGCCGATGCATCTTCCCGAGCCCCCACTGACGCCCCACGATCTGATTCACGCTAGTAGGGTTGAACGACCTGCTGTAGCGCCTCATGCTCCTAATAGGCCCCCTCTGCCTGTTCGAAATCCTGAGCCCGACCCTGAACAGGTTGCTCAAGAGATCGTTCATGAACTGCATTACATCGATGACACTGCCCAGTTTCGAGTTTCGTTGGACCCTCAACCTGCCTCTTGGTTGTATCCGGCACCGCCGTTGCGCCTGAGAGCGGGTTGGCCTGACCCAGTCCAGCTCACTTTTGAGGACCTTGCTAGAAGCAGTTCGGTTTGGGGTGGGGATGAAAGCGCGTTGTTTCTGTTGCCGCCCGCTGACCAAGCAGACTTTTTTGAGTCTCCCTCTGCTGGAAGGGCGGTTGTGGTGACTAGGTGGCACTCCACTCCGAGGGTCCGAATGTTCACGCCAGTGCACACGACCACACCTTTCCGTCTTGAAGTGTTCACCGGGCTCCGACGAACGCTGGTGCAGTATCTTGATGGTCGAAGATCAGTCATCGATGATGACTGGCGCGTCAGAGGCGCTGGACAGGCGTATCTGCAGAGCCGCTGGCGGGGTCGCACTGAGTTACAGATTGATGTTGATCTGCTTAGCCCCCGGGAGGCTGCTCAGATCCGTCGTTTAGCGATTGATCAGAGAAACCTGCTACGCAGGTAGTTTTTGTGCCGCCATTTTGGCGAAGTTTTTCGATCGAAGACCGGTCGAAAAAGGGGGAGAGTGTGAATCTGCCCAGGTGCGCCGCTCAGACGCCGCTACCGGCGGCACTGGGAGTAGTTCGCTTGTACACACCACCCATCACTCCTACCGCTTTTGGGCTACAAGCCTCAGAGCAAGAGGGTGACACACACAAATCAAGAAGTGTACAACTGCACCTGGCAATACTTTTCTCTTGCTGTTGTGGCTGTAAAAGAGTTCGCTGCGTACTCCGTGCGAGGGCTTGTTGTTCTCACACGTAGAGTTTAGGGTTCAGGGGTTTAGGGGTTTGGGGCTTTGGGGGTGGGGCTTAGGGTTTAGGGCTTAGGGTTTAGGGTTTGGGACTTCGGGCTTCGGGTTTAGGGTTCAAGGGTTTAGGGTTTAGGGTTCCGTTAAAGGGATCTACCTATATCTGTAGATATACATATATATATATATGCCGTGGTTTCATACAGTTTCTATGGGTTTCAGGGTTTCGGGCTTGCCCGGACCCTTCCTGAAGGTTCCCTATTATGATTTCCTTAACAAAGGCCTCAAAAAAGCTAGGTTCTAGGGAGGGTTTAGAGGAATCTATATGCTTCTACAGGGCTTCTATGGGGGATCTATCGGGTTTCGGTGTCTAGAGTTTAGGGTTTAGGAGGGGTCAGGTTTCAAGCTTTGGGCTTCGGATTGCAGGCAGTTGGGTTTACGGGCTTATGGTTTAGAGCTTCGGGTTTCAGGGTTTAGGGGTTAGGGGTTTAGGGGTTTAGGGGTTTAGGGTTTAGGGTTTAGGGGTTTAGGGTTTAGGGTTTCAGGGTTTAAGGTTTATTATGGTTTAAAGCTTAGGGTTTCAAGGGTTTAGGGTTTATGTTCAGGTTTTGCCCATGGGGCCCTAATGCCCCAGAAGAGTTTTTGAGCAGGGCTTCAGAAAGGGAAAGGTTTACGAGGTTTCTATGAACCCGACATGGTTACAGTTACAGTTGCACTCAACGTGACACCCCAGTGAATACTCCACAAGATGTCCTGAAGCCCGCGATCCTGCACCCGTGAACGTTAAAAGCAAACCTCCAAAGAATCCATTGCGCCCCAACCCTACAACCCTCAACCCGGGCCCAACCTGAAACACCCGAAATCCACAAACCTCGAAACGCATCTTCCGAATGCGATGAAACCGTACAAATACATTCCAAAAGGATGTTCATGGGTGGTTGCAAAACCTTTCATGAACACACTAACCGGAGTTGTAAGTAGAAACAACTGGAGCTGTTGAAGCCTACCAAGGCTTACCAAGTCCATTGCTCCTAAATTTTAGTAACCCACTGCAGGCTCCTTGAAACCCCTTACAAGAACCCTTGTAAAGGACCGACGAAATCCTTCTGAAAACCTTCTCAACACCTTGTAGCAGCCATATGCGACGCTTACAAATTCTCTCTGATGCCCAAAACCGGAAACCCCAAACCCTAAAGCCCATGCCCGGCTGAGGTTGCCACCGCAGCCGGCCCAGCTGCACAAGTCCTCCCGGGACCAGAAGCCTTGCACCGATATGGGTTGGATACTGCTCCCGAACTGGAACAGTTGGATAATTAATATGAATGGTATAATCAAATGTAGCCGTTGTTACGACACCTAATATAGACTGTTGCGGGTGGGGTCAGTACCCAAGATATAGGGGCCTTCATAATCAGATTAGGGTTGCGTTAAAGAGTCTCTTTAGAGGATTCCTGTAGGGTTACATCAGGGGTGTCCATTCACGTAGTGTTGCAAGAGGGGTTTCAAGAATGGTTCTATGATGTAGGGCCTTTATCAGCCTGTATCCTCAGTATGGGGTGCGGTGGTCTGTTCTACCATAACTATAGTCAGGAACGGTACGGAATAGTATTCCTATGTATTTCTAGTTACTTAGCTGATAAAAGCTTCTGCAGAGTAAGTTCTTAAGGTTTGAGTGAATCTCTGCAGGGGTCAATCATGCTCTCAAGAGTTTGGCTTTCAGCTTCCGCCAGGTTCTGCGGCAACCCCAAAATCTCTTAAATCTTGATGCTAAACCCAAGACCCTCAACCTTAAGATCGGGCCCTAAAAATCAGTCGAAACCCCCCGAACCCGAATCATTAACACCAAACCCTGAAAACTGCTTCAAAGGGCTTCGTGTCTGCTGAATGGATGCGTGGGTGCTCGTCCTACTGCTGCCTACAGGACCTAACATAGGGGCCCTTAATAATTAGAATCGGGTTTTGGGGCCCGGTATACTATACTTATTATAAGGAAACCCCAAAATAGTATTGGTAGTTATTGAAGCCCCCTAGACATATTACAGGACCGACAAGCTCCAAAACCGCTTCGGGCAACACATCGACTTGTAAGGGCTTCATGAAGCATTCAGTGGGGTTTAGGGTTTAGGGTGTAGGGTTTAGGCCACCCCGTAATAGTGACTAGAAGGATTATATTAGGGCCCTATAATATGCCTATTGTACCACTATTACAAGCCTTCCAAAGCCTTTATATGTTCTCTCTTCTTCAACAACCAGGTCAAAAAAGTTCAAACTGTTCTCATACAGACCACCAAGCGCTGTGTACTTGGAGGATCATGGGACTTAGTGACTTAGTGAGTATGGTTACAAGTACCTTCAGGGGGGTTATACGTAATTGTAAGTACAGTTACTAATGGTTACTAAGTCCGCTGATCCTTTAAGTAGGACTGTAAGGTAAGCGCCCTGACAGTCGGAATAGGTTCTGGGGGTCCATTCCAAATTAGTATATAGGGACCAAACATGGATATTGCGACTAATTTTTACTTAATATGCATACCCCTCTACTGTGACGGCTACCAGCTGCTATGGATGTATTCAGGGCCCTTCAAGGCCGACAGACTTATTTAGGTCTGTCTCAACCCCAGACTGTATCCAACATTGCAAAACAAAAGCAGGCCCAGAAATCCGCGGCTTATCCCTTGCAGAACTCTTCACGAAACCTTACAGAAAACCCTAGGAGGATCATAGAACCCTGAAAGCATCCTTCTAGGAAACTGAGATGCGGAATTCTTACAGGGTCCAGGAAAGAAACCCTAAAATATGGAACCCTTCATGGACCCTTCAACCTTGAACCCTAAACCCCAAACTCCTACATTCCTTATCGACACCCTACAGTTCCCGTAGAGGAACCCTTACAGAAACCCTCAACGGTTTAGGGTTTAGAGGTTTAGGCCCTAAGCCCCAAACCCTAAACCACAGCTCTATAGACCCTAAACCCTAAACCCCACCCTGCCTGGTGGCCCGACGCACGGGAGGGAGCAAGGGGTCCGGAAGTGCCCGGAAAAAGGAAGGAGGAGGAGAAAAGCCCAGCCTTGGACAAAGGTATAGGGTTCAGCAAGATCCATACTTGGAGGATCATGGGACTTCTTAACTATTGTAAAAATTAAGGTATCTGTACTTATAACTACTTATATCCCCACTGAAGGTACTTACTTATAACCCTAGTTACTAAGTCCCATGATCCTCCAAGTAGGCGTTTGTTCTATGTGGGGTCTATTACTGGGGTCTAGACTTGAGGCTCATGCAGGGCTAGAGGGCTGGGCTGTAATCCTTGTAGAATTCTCGCAACGACCATATAAGACCACATAAAATAACAAAACATAAGAAACCCCGAATCAAGATACGAGAAAACCCCTTTCAGTGGAGCACCGGAACCCTGAATCCCATGCGACTGTTTCAGGTGGCTCTTGGCTAAGGGTGCCATCGAGGGTTCTTCTAAGGGCTCCTTCAATTGATTCTCTCATGAATTTCGTTGGTGGGTTTAGAGCGGCTCCGTAAGGAAGAGTTCCTTCAACATGGGACACCCAGCGCATCCCAGGTCAAGCCCTAGACCCAAACTCCCTGAAAAGCCGAGACTGCCTTAAGTTCAGCCCCGACGCTGAACTAAACCACCGTTTAGCGATTTTTTTTTTTTTTTGGGGGGGGGCCTTTTCGAACTGAATTCCTGTGCTAGGAGGAGCCGATGGCTGGGGGGGTTGGGGTTTAGGGTTACGGTTTAGGGCTTAAGGTTTAGGGCCAAGACCCGATAATGTAGAATTAAGTGATCTCCAAGATATAGCTGAAAGTGGCCTACAATGAGATCCCAGTTGTAATTCCATTCCTGTTGTGTGTCCTTTACTTATTTGGAGCAGAGCATGCTTCCCCTTCTTTTCATTATCTTTGTTCAATCAAAATAAAGACGCACACGTTAAGATAAACCATGGAACTGGTTCATTGTTGGGATAGGATTAAAAATGTACATTTTGATTCCTTCTTGGGTTTAAGTACCCATAAAAATGTAAAATGTTACCCAACAGTGACAAAGGGAAAGTGAGGAGACCCCAAACCTCCTAGGCCATACAGCCCTATACTCGACAGACACCACTTCGCATCCCCGTGAAATGCCCAATACCTTTGGTACAGCCCCCATACAGTAAGAGTCTATAATAGGGCTACTACTAAGGTCCTACCACATCTATATTATGAATATTATTCAACTATTACTGAGTGGGGGCCGTACCTAACCAATACCTGACAACTCTAAACTCCTTGAGCCACACTCCTGGAATCCGAAAATTCAAGACACTTGACCCCCCACAACCGGAAGCCAGACCCTTCAAGGATATCGCGGCCTACAAACCTGCCTTGGCCTTAGGGTTTCGGATGTAGGGTCATACAAGCCTCCGACCCTTACTCAACACCCCGCCCCCCCCCTGACGAAAGCTGGAATTAATGAGGGTGCTGCTGGAAGGGCCACCAGCACCGCACCTCGGCGGGCGCAGCCGCGAACCACAAGCAGGCGTAGGGTGAAGGCTCTGCGGGTTCCTTTTCATTTGCGTCTTAAGGGTTCCTTTTCAAACGGTTCCTCTTCAAGGTACCTATGAGGGTTGCGAGGGTTCTATCAAGCTCGCAGGAGATAGGAATTTTTGGTTTGGGGTTAAGGCTTGGGGTGTGTTCGGAGTTTAAGTCAAGGAGCCTCGACTTCGGGTTTGGGGTTTACTTAGAGGATCATGGGACTTAGTAACTAGGGTTATGATTAGGGTAATTATACTTATACTTGCTTAGAACCCCACTTAAAGTACTTATAACCATATTTA